CTAAGTTCCTTACAGTAAACTCAATAATGAAAAAATATCGCTTCTGTTAGCATTTCACCAATAAATTGATTTAACAGAAGTACTGAATGGAGAAAGTCATTTAGGGAAGACCAGGGCTAGTTGTTACGATTTTTAGAGAAGTCCAATATCTAGCGAAATAACCCGAATCATACATTGAAGCTGAATGAAAGTGAAAGATAAATATGTACTTTATCAAAATTATGTATTCTATATTGAACAAAATTGGTTACATAAAAGCTTTTGTAAATATTTTGAAATAAAGTCAAGTGTAACAATATGCCCCGGATGCGGGGTAAGTTGATGTAATATACAATAAAAAAAATCTGGAATATTTACCAAACTTAGCCTACTCTATCATGCTAAATGTTATAATAGGCCTACTGTAGTTTTCTCATAACATTTAGCATGTTAGAGTATAAGCCTAATTTCAGTAATTATTCCAAATTTTCTAAATTTTAATGCGATATAATAATTGTAGGCTTAATAAATTTATTAATGATTACACCATAAAAAAACTTTTAAAACGACAATTCAAACATAGTTATATTGTAATGAATTTATTATTGATTACACGATAAAATAAATCTTGAAACGTTATTTAAACATATAAGCATCATTGTTCCACGATCGAAAAACTTAAAACAAAAATGGTTATAGTTCTAGTCTGTGTCACAATCACAATTTTCACAAATACATGGACCACGAGTTTCACCTGCTGTGCATTCATAATAAGCCCACTTATAACAGACTGTAGACTGCACCCATTCTTCTCTGGATACAGAATTACTAAACAGGTCTCCACATAGAAGACACTCAGTTTCTTCCATCCGATTTTTCGCTTTTTTCTTGCCTTTATTACCAGCGCTAGCGCCTTTTCCGTGACCACTCTCTTTCGTTTTCTTTTTATCTCTGTCATCTTTTTCAAGCTGGAGTTGTTGTTTTTTTCGAGTGTAGAGGTCAAAATAGCCGAATATCGTTTTTTCCTGGTAATTTTGGTCTTTCGTGGGGATGCCTTCCTGAAAGGCTTATCATCTCTGGAGTCCTCAGCGGGTCTGATGTTTTCCTGTTGGTAGGAGGACTATTCGTTACAATGTCTTCACTAGTAGATGATGTCTCCAAGTTTTCTGTTGATACTTCATTTGGCAAGGGGCGATCTGTTACGTCGCTGGGTAGAAAATCATCACCTGAAAAAATGTGACGGTCAAAAGGATATATGCCGGAAACTTGAAAACCGTTCTTGATATTTTCTGGAGTAAGCGCTCGTGTAAGGCTTTGATTTACTAAGGTTGGTATGTCATAAATGCACATTGTTTTCCAGGATTGTTCTTTAGCCAATCGTCAGCTGCTGCGTTATAATACTTCTTGAAAGGCCCGTATATACTTTTATCCAGGGGCTGTAATCTGTGGCCTCACTGTTCGGGGAACGAGAGAAGATTTATACCATTTTCCACACAAAAATTGATACAATCTAAGCTGATATATCATCCTATTGTTCTTCTCCTTGATAACCATGAGTCACAGACATTGTTATACCCTATGTCGATATGGGGCATGTTGTTGCAGCATGTAACAATATGCCCCAAAGTTCATCAAAAGTGTAAAGCAAGTGGGGACGATAATCTCAGGTGAAAGAGGTACACTTGTGACAATTCTTACTGCAGTCAATGCATTAGGAAACACTGTTCCTTGTATGTTTATTTTCCCACGCGTCCATTTCAAAGATCACTTCCTAAACGGGAGACCAGCTGGATGTATCGGTGCAGCATATCCTTCAGATTGGATGACCGAATATAATTTTCTAAAATTCATGGAACATTTTCCGAAGACAGTCAAATGTTCTAAGTCCATACTAATTCATCGTCAAACAACATAACATACGATAACATTGAGTTAAGAGGTATTAACTATCGAAGTCTACAACTAATGAGAACAGTATCAAAACACAGTATATAAAGAGTAAATAGATATTTCCTAGACATTTTTTTTTTAGTTTAGGTATGCAAAAACAGAAAATGTACATACCTTTTTTATTTCGTGACTGATCTTATTCATGCCACCATTAAAACAAAGCTTGCGCAACACGTGTTCGATGGTCCATGAACTATCGCCGTCTATTAATCTCAACAAGAGCTAGAGGCACTATATCAACTTGCCCCTGTAACAACTAGCCCCGGTCTCCCCTACTTATAGTGGGGATGGGCAAGATGTGCAATACAAATTGAAATCCCAAACACACTACAAACAGCATGTAAACAAAACTTTATAAGCACTTTACATGCACTGTTGAGTAGTAAATAAACTAACTACAGAGTAGCAAACCACCAAAGTTAAAACAAAAATTTCACAAAACCACAGACTTGTCAGTCTGACTATCTGACTGACTAACATTGTTGGAAAGGCATAGCTCTCTCCTGCCTTCACTTTATGCAAATCTAAATGCACACAATTGAATTATGCTACCATGGCTAAAAGTGTTTTTCTTATAACCTTGGTAATAACAATAACCATTTTGCAATACTAATAATGACCTAACAATACACTAGTAGCCATATTCTATGATTACAAGCAGCACACACGGAGTTGTCAAGTAACACCCCACCCTTATATAAATTTATATCAATCACGTGAGTATGCACAATTGCTTATGGGAACACACCATTGCATTTAGTGGTCAGCCTGGAGCTGTATCAGCTAGTTATATATATTCTCGGTCTAGATTCTAACTATGATCTAGCTTTTGAAAGTGAAGTATTCGGTTCTATACATAGACTCAAGGGTTCTCTGTTAGACAAAGCAATTCTATCATAGCAGTTGGTGCCTAAGACATGAGTCTTCTACCACTGCTGAAGACTGACATGACTTTTTCTAATGTAATTTGCATTGTTTTCAAACTACATATGACCTATTGTGAATTACACCAACCATGTGACCCCAAAGTGACCAGAGTATCTATACTATAACTTCTAACATGTTTTTTGTGTATTTTCGTGTAATTTTTCAAGCTTTCGGCAAACATTACAAGTTTTCTGCAGTCAAAAAAATCAGAATTTTAAATAAGTATTTGTACAAAAAATGTGTCCATGAATATATGGAGTCAGTGTGTTGACTGTTCTGAGTGTAAAGCAATTTTCATGTTGAGATTAAAAATACTTTCCTTCACTTGAAAATTTCATTTGCATATTCTCTAAAACCTCTTAAATAAGAAGTGTTAAAAAAAAACGTTTAAACAATAATAATAATAAAAATAGGAAGTAGGAATGGGAGCACCAAAAAGTAAGGAAACAAGGTAGGAATGGATGGTAAATGTTACAACATTTGGTAGTTTGTGACATGGTGCAACCTCAAAGTGGGTGTGGCCATCGTTCCACCCATTCCTACATCGTGTTTCACTTTGAACTACTTGTGAACTTAAATTGAGTTTTATCAGTAGCTAATCCTTTCTAAATACTCAGCAAATTCAAAAATTCCAGAAATTGATTGTTTTGATACTATTCTTTTGGCCCACCCCTTACCAGTCAGATAGCTATAAGGTCTCCTATAAGCAAAGTATGACTGTTGGAGCTTCCTGTCTTACTCCTGACATCAAACACCCCCCCCCCCTTATGATGTCTTGCATTTTGTTAGGGTCATGTAATTTGATTACATACATGTATCTTTACTTGGTTTCTGAAACAAAGTTTAAAACAGAAATGTAGCTATATACACCTTTCATGTAGTTTGAATGATTACCAAGTTACAAGAAACACACAAAGTAGTAATGGGTGGAACGATGGTCACACCCACTTTGAGGTTGCACTGTGTCAAAAATAACCAAGTGTTGTAACATTATCCCATCCATTCCTACATATTGCCTTACTTTATGGTGCTCCCATTCCTACTTCCTATTTTTTTTTATTATTTAAAATTTTTTATAACAATTGTTTATTTAAGAGGTATGTATTTGATGTCAGAGTTATGAACTGTCCATTTTATTCTATGTTGCCGAATTAGTAGTAGAAGAGAGTGAATACCAGATGCAATATACAGATACTGAAAAAACTGTAGATATGCGTTACGTAGGTTTAGAGATTATGTAAACACAATACACAGACTGTATGATGGTCAAGAGTATTTTCATTCTTCACATGAACATCACCTTGCACTCAGACTTGCCAGTGTTAGTCAGACTTGCATCATCAATTCACAGATGTTTTCAGTGCAAATACGTTTGTTACGCATCTGATTTCTTGCATACAACAGACTTCTACATTTTGTTAAAAACTTGTCAATTTTTTGTGTGTAAACACATAGTAAATTCAGAATTATAAGCAAGATTTCTTCTCAAGTATGGGATTGGTCCAATGTATGAAGCCCCATGCACATTTGGTTAACATAGGGATAGTTAAGGTGACAAAGTTCATTATGCCCGACAGAAAATTATTATTCCTATTATCAGTTAAGTGATTATTGATTAATGTGAAAATGTTCATAATGCCTAACAGTCATATTTACTGCTCTCTTTTACTGGTTAAAAGACTGATAAATAATGTGACAAAGCTTCATAGTGTTGAACAGCCAATATTTCGGAGCTTTTCATGGACATCCATTTTTAAATTTCTTTAGAAGTATAACCATAGCAAAAATAATTATGAATATAGAAATTTGCAGTGTTCTACAATTAGATTAAACCAAATTCTATTTGATCAATTTCACTGAAGCATCTGAAAGTAGATGGATCTGAGAAATTTGTTTTGTAGACTATGATGTTTTATTATCTGTAATGAAGCATTATTGTGCACTAATTAGGCTCTCCTAAGTTTTTCAAATAAATGACATATAATGAAGAACAATTCCAAAACAATTAAAAAACATTTCTTGCTTTAGGTTTAGCTTAAAACAATTGTTTCAGTGTTAGTCTCAAACAAGGTAATGTGTTTATTTTTATAAACAAAAAATGATGATAATAATAATAATAACTGAGTATTTATATTTGTTTTCAGCAATAAAGTCACTGCTTTATGTTATGCTGGAGCTTCAAAGAAACTGATTTCTGGAAGTGAAGACTGTATTCTAGTCTTTTGGAACATGGAAGTTGTACGGCAAGAAGTAAACTTGTTTTACTTAAACCTTTAGATTGTACAGATAGCGTGTTTCTTTCTTTATTTCATAAATTTTAAACAGTATGTCAAATACTTAAATTATGATTGCCAATTTTTGATTTATTTTTCTATTTCAAATGTAAGCTATGATCCACTAAAGGTTTTCTTGTTGTTATATGCTACTGGATTTTTAAGAAAAGAATAAATATTTCTTAATCTGAAAACAAGTATACAAAAATATTGTAAAATTTATCCTTCATTTTTTTCAGGATAAAAGTCAACATTTAAATATAAATAAAATGTTCGAAGTGAATGATTCGTATTCAATGTCTAATTAAGAACATTTTAAAATATATAAGTTTTACATAGAAGAACAGAGAAAAGTCACTTGGAGCTTTCTTGTCTATATGTATTACAAACTTTTGTAAAATATGTACTTGGATTCCTGAAGCATTATTGTATAAACATGGGATTGAGTAGAAAGTTACTTCTTATAACATTGAGACTCTGGAATGACCATATTTAGAGTTAGTATGCTTGATAATTTCTCTTCTAGACCCCAGACTGGGCAGAAAGTGACTGCTGCCAGCGTTGTACTCGTCCTTTTTTCTGGAACATTAAAGCTATGGTGGACCAAAAAACCATTGGTATTAGACAGGTGGTTGTTTAATACATTATTTTCTTCATTATTGGAATCAATGTATATTATTTCAAAATATATTATCTATTATTCACAACATTTAAATATATTTATCTTTCATGTATTCTGGATGTTTAAAAGACACAAGGATATTGTCTTGATACTAATGATCAGTGTTCTGTATGGAAAGTATTTTTTTGTAAATACAAATAATTATAATAACTGACATTGGAGATTTGTGTAAGCTAAGCCTATTATGAAATTAATGTTTGTAAAAATCAATTTTCAGTAATGAATGGAATAAAAGTACATATAGAAACATGTTTTTTATAATTTAATTAAACTTTTATCTATACAAATAAAAAACAGGTTTTCTATTTCTTGGATCATTTTCTTTGTTTGATTTACATATAAATTCAACTTTCACAGCACCACTGTAGGAGATGTGGAAAAGCTGTGTGTGATGCCTGCAGCACTAATCGAAGTGCTATTCCTATAATGGGTTTCGAATTTGATGTCAGAGTTTGTGATGAATGCCATAGTATGATCTCTGATGATGAGTAAGTTGACAATTCTTAAATGATGTTGATACAGGCTTGACTCGATGGTTGTTTTCCTTTATGGGAGCTAAGGTCATGTTAAGTTAGTTAAAAACGTAATTATATCAAGATTTGCACAAGTTATGGAAAATAATGGAAAGTCATAGCATTTTTATAAATATTTTCAGTCCAGGAAATCCTAGAAAAGCAGTTTATTTATCAGGAAGTGTCCTGGAAAAGTCCTTGTTTTAACCTCATCGTTCTCACCTCTTCATTTTTTATCGATGACATCTATAGCATTGTGTTCATCTCAGTTTTGTGGAAAAGTATCTGGAAACACTGTTCAATAATAGGCTTTGAATGAACAAGTGTCATTAGGTTATCGTTAGAATGGTATTGTTAGCTTAGAATAAGTTCAACTTATTTGGCAGCAATCTAAAATAAAATTCTTGATATGATAAAGAACAGCTTCAGCATGAACACTTCAAAAATAATTAATAACATTTCTAGCCTAATTTTATCACCAGTTATTGCCTACAATTTGTTAATAAAAAGAGAAATGCAAATCCAACTGGCAAAAATATAGTAAAAGGAGTTTCATAAATCTAACTGCCATGCATGAAGTAGTAAAATATCTACTATTAAAGATAGGCCATCAGTTTATACTTGATTAAGTCACCCATTATTTACACAGTGATTGATTTAGGCTAGAATATTTTTATTGATATTTGGGGCCCCATTACTAAATATTTCGGGGACAATCAGGATTGTAAATACAGGATTGTGATGTATTTTATTAATATTATTTTGTCTCTTTGTTGATGTTATTAATTTTTTCTTTCAGATCTAGAATTAAAAATATTCTTAAGGATCAGCTTCATGATTTTATTTGTAGTCATCATAAATTGCAATGAGTGACACACATAACAGCATCCTTGACAGTAATTATTGATGAAATGTATGCATGCATATTTTTATATTAGAACGTGTTAATTATGCATCTTCCTTAGTTTTCTTATTTTTTAACAAAATACAAAGATTAAAGTGTATATTTGTGTAATCTGTAACAACTTCATTTTGATCCAACGTGAATACAGTAAGTTATTAGCTAGGAATTAGCTTCCTTATAAGCATAAGAAAAAGTTTTATTGATGGTGGAACATACATGTTTAAACAGAACATTGGTCTGTCTTTTTCAGGTATGGTCAGTATTAAACAATACAGGGTCTATATATTGTAACAAAGACAAGACACTGGGATTAAATGTGGCAGAAATGATGTCAGCAGGTGACAGGATATAGGTAAAGGTCAAGGGTGTGAATGGTGAATAGACCTTGTCAAATACAACAGATATTGGTAGGGCCATTATCATGGCTTATTGAGAGATTGTTTGCTTTGATGATTTCTATAGTTTCTAAATAGGCTCTTTCTTTTCTAGTTTTGGGTTGGTGTAGGAGAAGAATTTTATCCCAAAGTATTTTATGGTTTGTTTCATATTGATGGTATGTTAAAGTAGATATCTGGAATTTACCTCTATGCATGTGACCTTGGTGGTGTTTGCATTTTATTTCTAAGGAATGTGACATTTGTCCTATGTGTTTCTTTCCACACTGACATAGGATACTGTATATGCCTTGTTTGTTTTTTTTCTTTTGAGAAGGATTTTTTCAGGTTAGGTAGTAAGGTGTTAATTTGGTGTAAAGGTTTGAATACAGTTTTTACATCAGTGTGCAAATTATTAAAAATGCTAGTAATTTCATTAGCAATTTCTTGCACAAAAAAAAAATGAAACAGATTTGTTATGTCTTGTGTTGTTGATAAGTGAAAGATTAGAGTTATCATAATATTTTTCACTGTTTCAAAGCTTGATACAAGCCCTATGTATGATGTTGGGGTTAAAACCTCCTGATAATGCTATATTCTTTAAGTAGTCTCTTTCCTCTTTGCTTTTGCTTGTCTTCCTCTCTGGCACTGTCCTGAAGTTTCTGTGGTGAAGGGTCTTTCTTCTGCACTTCCTTCACATTTTTACTGTCTGGTATGTTTCCTATCACCAAGTCGTATATTGGTTCCTTGATACACATGGCCTCAAGGTCTCCTTCATAATATGGAGTATCCACCTTTATTTTTGTTATAGGAATCTTTCTGATTGTCCCATCAGTTAGCACACGCAAGCATACCTTGCCTGTAACCTGACCATCGGATACTAGACTGGTTCTCACTGCTGCACTACTGTACCCAGTGTCTTGTAGAACCTCCACTTTCTTGTCTCCGACATAGCCTTCACATAATAGCATATTATGATTTGTTGGCACCTTTGGATGTTTGTAACATGCTCCGATCACTATTGGCACTGTTGATCCATTTGCTAATTTGAGCTGACCATTAGTTGTGCACTGATCAATCATGGCAATGGCACTTCCTTCTTGTAGTGAATCTGACAAGTTGTCTTGATTCTGTTTCTTCTGGCAGTAGCATCCGTGGTGTCAGTCACTCTTCTTGTTTCTTACTAGCACTATCTTTGTAAATAGCTCCAGATACCTTGTGTTGAGATTTCTGCTGTTGCTTGCTGGTAATGAACTTACACTCCTTTGCAATGCATCCCATTTTATAACAAGCATAGCATCTCTTATCCCTTCTGTCTGTTAACCTCCTGTCAATGTTGGTAGACTTCTGCTCTTAGTCAGCTATCACTGGTTTTGAATTGGACTGGATATTTTTTAACTTGTCAGTTATACTCCCTTCATGGGCTTCCATATATTGTTCTGCCAGCTTGATCATTTCATCCACATCTTTTGGTGCTCTCTCGGTTAGGAACAGTGACATGTCAGTTGAACATATGATCATGAACTGGTCTCGTATTAGTAGATCTGCCAGTCCCTCAAAACTATTTTCACACTTGGCCATGTTAGTCCATCTTGTGAAGTATCGCCATAGATATGCCACAAACTGAAATATAGATTTATCCAGTGTCAGGTTTGACTTCTCTCAACTTCCAATAAAAACCTTCTACAGTAAGTTCATAGTGTTTCAGCAAAGCCACTTTTAACTTGTCATAGTCCATGGCACTTTCTGACTCATGACTGCATATACTTGTAGGCATTTTCTGGTGAGAAATGGGTTGAGACAGACTGCCTAGTTGCCTTCGTCCCAGTTTTGACTTTGGGCAGATCTTTTATATCACTCCAGGAAAGCATCCATGTCATCTTTCTGTTTCATCAAATTTGGGCAGCTTGGGTCAGCTGGCCCTGACTCCATTGTCATTCTTGGGTCCTTATTCCTTCAGTTGAATGAGTTTTGGAATTTCAATTTGTGCTCTTATTCTCTCTATTTGCAGTCTCTCTCTCCTTTTTCAGTCTTTCTTCCTCTCTTTTCTGTCCCTTCTCCTCTCTCTCTTCTTTTGCCACTTTTCTCTCTCTCTAATTCTTATATACAGTTCTCTTCTTCTTGTCAAAAGTCCACTTAGGTTTAGAGTTCAGTTGACAAGCTGAACTATTTTTCTCTATTTTCATCAAATTACTGTCAGTGTATAATTTAATTACACTGGCTTGTGAGTTACCGCAGTTGTATCCTGAACTTCCGATACTCACCTGCTTTTTTTGTATTTAGGCCTAATAATCGTCTGCTTTTTTGTCAAAGTCCACACAGGCAGAATCAATTGCTTGAGAACACATTTTGATGAGGCAGATTATTCTCCTAAAATGTCAGAAAACTGTTAATTTCACTTTAACTAATCAATCATTAGGCTATTCACTCGTACGACGGTTAACTTTACGTTTTCTAACTTTTCTTTGGCAGAAACTCTTTTTCACTCTGCTTTACTTTTGGCTATCTTTTCACTCTCTGGTCTCTCGTGTGGTCGCCGATATTTATATATCTCTCTCACTGAGGCATTCTAGAAATCTCCATAGCCTCAAAATCAATAACTTGCAAACACAACTTCCAACAATCGTCTGCTTTTAACTCTCTTATTATAAAAGAAATCTAAACAACTGTAAAATATTAACTCTGAAAATAATTAATTAATACTACCTACACTAAACAGTTTTTTATATCTGGTGGAAACATACATGTCAATTAGAAAGGTAAACATACTTTTTTGTCTAGACATGTATCTACAGGCCTGGGGTTATCTGATTCAAGATAGAGACTGTGAAAGTAGAGATTTTTCGTAACTCGTGAGTCATGTTACAACAAAACTGAAGTTTAAGTATTTTTTTTAAAGGTTTCTTTTGAAATAATGGAACTGAACCTTCGATTTTTTTTAACATGTAATGTTAATTTCATTCACATACATGGATAGCAAAGTTGTTTAATTAGATTTTGAATGTAACTCAGTAAAGCGCAGAAAGGAGTTTAAAAAATGCATTGTGCTAATAGGGATATAGAGTTGATATTAGATTCTGTGGTAGCAACAGTTTGTTCAATAGGTATATTTCTAGGTTTAACATACAAATCTGATTATCAGTTAATGGTTCATTTGAGATATTTAAAACTGAAAGAGGAAGTTTAACAGGTTGGAAATTTTTCACTTTTTTTTCTGGCAACATCAGCCGTATTTGGTTAGGTCATATATGTGAAGAGACTTGACGTTTACCCGTATCCTGTCACCTGCTGACACCATTTCTGTCACAATTAATCCCTGTGTCTTTTGTTTTAGTAACAATACATATAAACCTTGTTCTGGTTAGTACTGATCATACCCAAAGAAGACAGACCAACGTTTGTTGTTTGCATACCTGTTATTTTTTTGGCATAATGTGCTTTCTTACTCAAGTAAGTTATTAGCTATAACCAAGAAACTTGCTGTTTAACAGTAAGTTTTAAAATGTGACCTAAGATTTATCATCTGTCTTGTAAAAAATGATCTGATGGAAAGTTAGGTTCATCATAAAAAGCAATTAATAGAAAATGCTCAGTTTTGAGATTTTATTATTTACGTATAACTTCTAATACTTCATAAATTACTATTTTATCCATAGAAAAAAAGAAAAGTTGATTTTTTAATCAATGTTTTGTAGCCGAATACCACTGGCAACATTTCATGATGCCCGTCACTGTATTATAGACATGGATCTGGATGAAACAAGGTTTCACCTCTTAACAGTAGGCTCAGATCGTGTTATCAAGGTAAGAGAAGGTTTCATCTCTTAACAGTTGGTTCAAATCATATTACTGAGATAGCATCTTTCACCTCTTTAATGGTTAGCTTAGATTATTTTATTAAGGTAAGATATATTAATGAACAGGTGTGGCCAACCTTCTGGCAGTGAAAGCATTGTAGAAGGGTTGGTTGTCTGGGTCTTGCTGGATCAACTAGATGATGGATATATCACAGGTTGGCACCTTTCTTGATAAGATCAGCCGTGTGTTTTTCGTTGGATAGGCTGACTCATACTAGGGGGGGTTTCTTGGCTGGTCCTTATGGATTTTATCCTTTCAGCTTTGGTGGCTGAGATGTCTTGAGGTTTGTTCTTGGAGTATTTCTTCTGTAGTTATGTCCAGTGGGACACTTCTAATTACGATGGCTTCTGGCTGGCATTCCCCAGGGATGTGGACGTTTAGTTTGGCATCCTGGAAGGCTGAGGAATCCCACGATTTAAGGAGCTTGGCATATTCTGCAGGGGTGTTAATTACAACTTCTCCTTTGGCTAATCCTCAGACATTTGTGAGGCAAATCTTTGGGAAGAGTCTTTTTTAGTTTGTGGGCAATTTCTGGACATCTTAAGTTGGAATTCCTTCCATGACAATCCCTGGAGGGGGTTTAGGTTGCTGGCTGGTGGATTTTGGATTGCGATTCTGTGGGTTGCTTGCTTGTTAGTGAACTGGCTACTTGGTTAGTTGATGTGGATCTCATGGTGCCGGGTGAGTTGTTTGGAGATACTTGATTTGAACTGCTGGAGGCTAGTTCGATACAGCTCTGGATCATGGCAAGCTATTCGACATTAGACAAGGGCTTATTGGTCGATCTGGTACCCAATTGTGGCAGGGTAACTGGAGTTGGTGTGCCAAGCGGATTGGAGTTTTAGTTCTGGGTCTTGACTGGAATTAAAAGATTTTTTACTTCTCCACCTCATGGGGTGGTGGGGAAGGAGATATTTGCTAAATGAGTGTAAGTCGAGTTATCAGGTTAAGAGCCAAGTTTGACACAAACTTCATGTATGATGACTTAGTAAAATTTTAAATAGAAATCCTGGAAAACATTTTTCTGTTGACCAAAGATTTTTATGCCACTTGAGGCCATTTTCATAATTACCAAACATTTAGGGATATAGAGGTATACGTAGGACAAATATACACAATAGTATTAAATTTTTAGACCAGTAGGTTTATAATTATGCTGTTTTCAAATCAGACATGCTCTTTAAAAAACATTTAAATTAAAATAATGTGTACTGTGTGTATTTCATTCTGTTATAACTTATTATCACTGTGTTTAGGCTTTGGTCTGTTATTTGAACAAGATCTGGTTGAGTAGAATGGTTATATTAAGTAGGACTTTTGTAACTTATTAGTAATAATATATATATACCCATTTATCCCACCTGATCATATTATTTTCTTTTACAAAGCAAAATCGTTTTGAGATTAGATTTTATTGGCAGTGAATTTAATCACTTTTTAAGCTAACAAACCGTAATCATGTGTGACTGTTAAATGTCATAAAGCATGTTAACATGACTAGCATAGTTAAAAAAAAAAAGTATTTTGATTGTGTAAGTTGGTGCACATTAGAAAAGCATATATCTCTAATATACAACTTTATTTTTTATATCTATTATAGTAATTATTATTTTCAATTCAATATTTGATATTCCTTAAAAACTAGTGTGTAGCAGAAAAGTAAAAGTTCTTGAAACTTAAAATGTTTAGTTTGATAATTACTAGTTCATATATTTCTACATTCATACATATATATTTGATATGTAACTTCTGACATCATTTTTTCCTTTCATGCTTATGAAGACATTTTTAATTTTGTAACATTAAGTTAATAAAACTTTTTAAATTGAAAGAAAATATCAATTAACCCTATGTGTACAGGTTGGAATCCAAAGGCACGTCATGACATTTTGCAGAGTTACATTAAAAAACTTAATTAAACAATTTTATTTTCCAAGTATATCAATAAACTTGATGTCAAAATGTAATTTACAATTCAAACCTCAACATTATACAAGTTTTAATTCTTTAATATCAAAAGGAAATATTTAGATAAGTCCTTAATCTTCACTTCTCAGTACCACATTTTTTTGCTCCAAATTGCTCAGTATAAATATTCTTTCTACCCCTATTAGAGCTTCTGAGTTTAATACAAGTTATAGATGTTGCTAAGACAAACTTATTTATATCCTCGTGTTCTTGTTTTTACCGAGATACAAACCAAAAAGTCAAACCCACATGTCACTTCCTTGTGTAACATACTGTCTTTCAAAAAAATGTCATTAATTCTCTGATATTTGCTATTAGATTGTGTTCTAAATTGCATAAAGTACAAACAGCAACCTTCCAAAAACTAGGGTAAACTCTTATTGAGACTTCAAGTGCAGAAGAGTACAAGACCCACACATAAGTACCTGGGTTCCTTTTTGTTTATGTATGTTTTTTATCTAATATTATAAAAAAGTAACTAAAATGTAAAAATTAGAAACGTTATAGGTTAGATAAGAAAATCAAATGAAGAAAAACTAAATACATTTCTCCATGAAGAATGAACACAAACTGCTCATGCATGATGTAATTCAATATACTTTGTTTACTGTAACTTGAACTATGCCCTTGTGTGTCTATTTATTGTTTTGTTACACAACTTTAGAAGTTAGACACAGTTCAAAGAGCATTAAAACTAAATGAAAGCAGTTATGAAAAGATTAGGTGACTGCAGATGTTAAGATAGATAACTGTAATCCTCTGTGACAATGTGCAGTCATTCTAGCAAGAAAAAAAAGTAATAGAGATTTATTTTTTTACATGGTGATTTCAAGGTCAGCCAGACTGACAGCCTGTATACAGCTAATATTAGAGCAAAGCAGTTAACAGATAAGATGTAAATTTTACTGGAAAATTAGAACTTGGTATTCATTTAGGAGATACTAGAGGCTCGGCGAATGAAATAAGAAAACTAAGATGAAAAAGTATTATTAACTTTTGATACAACATCTGACTAAATTAAATTCACAGACAAATCTCTAGTAGGAATGCTTTATTAAGAATTCTTTGTCTTTTTTTCTACAACATATTTGTAATATTTACTAAAAACTTACCAAATTTCATGAAGATACACTAAGTAAATTAGAAATTATAGTATTTATTAGTAAATGTTAATTCTCTAATATGAATGTAGTCCAGTGGACCTACCATGTGCAAGTAAGATTAAGTAGGATGTGTGTTGTTTCCTTTGGATTTATGATCAGATGTAGCTTTTTCATTTATTTTATTCCATTAACGCATGATTTTCATATTTGATCTATCTGAGGAAAATTGTAATATCTGTACTTTTTTTGAAGATTAATATGAAATTGATGTTATATTTAAGTTTTTGAATAAACACTGTTTCATTTCTTTTGTAGCTGTGGGATGTGAGTAGCCTTCTAAACTGACATTGTTATAAATGTTTCGTATGAAAATGAAGACATACCTATGTCTTCTGAAATTTTGTCAACTACATAGTCAACTTAGTTCCAAGACAACTAACTGTTCAAATGACACAATTCCATCAATTATGGGATCCCACAAGCTTGTCCCTGAAATTATCCAGGAAAGTAAATTGTAATGTATGTTGCATCATGTGTGAACAGATATGTTGTTCAAGATAAGCAAGTATATTCTCTAAAAGATAATTTGTGAACAGCATGTGCCCTAAAAATCAGATGAATGGTGTGCAAGATAGAAAAGCTGCTATAAGTTGTGACAAACACGTGGGAAAATTAATAACTTGATGGATTTCTGTTCAGTATGATCATTATAAGGAATGTTATTTTTTTTCTAATTTTTTTATTTTGGTTCATCAATGAATTTGCTTCATATTGAGGAAATGCAAATGTTAATTGAAATGAAAGTTGAGCTACATTGTAGGATTGAGTAACATAAAGTTTTTGAATAACACAGTATCTGGTTAATATTTTACTGAAAGAGAAAGAATAGCATTAAGAAATATAAATAAAATGTGTTAGTGTTCTCCAAGTTATCAGTTTTGAGATACAGTAACTCTAAAGAAAGCACTTGAAAAACGTAATCACAAGTTACAAAATCACCTATTGCATCTGCGAGTACTTTAAAGAATCAGTTGATGAGGATCATTAGCAGGGTATGTATTACATTTAAATTCTGTTAAATTTAATGTAATGAGTTTCAGCTACTAACATGCTAATATTGCAGTGTTCATCTGGAAATGGTAAAATCTTTTGAATATTTGCTTTAAGGTTATGGAAAAGTGTTAAATCTCTTCCTAAATAGAAGTACAAAAGTAAGATCTTTTGAAAAATGCAATTTTTAGTTTCCTGGAAATAAATGAGTTACTGAACTTGATGGCCCTAAGGCAGTTGATTATCACATTGTAATCAACTACTTTTGATACTAATTAGCATGTAAAGAGTTTGTTTTATTCTGCATAGCATACATGATTCAGCCATGCCAGTGGCTCAGAGTAGGGTACAAATATTAAAATTTCCCTTTAGCAAAGAAAGTGTTAGAATTTAATATTTTGTCAAATGTGGCACTTTCCAACACTTCTTTCCTCCTCAGTTGTTTCAAACAAATATTGAAAGTCACATCCCAGGCTTTATGGGCACACACACATTCTGAATGAAAAGAAATTTGTTATTGTTTAATAATTTGTGAAGCTGGTATCTTAAATATTTGAAATAATGGAGGAGTTAGTGTGTTATTTGTTATCATAAAGAAAGTATAACCATATAAAAATATTATGTAGTGAAAAGTGAGTGTTGAATTGCAATTAAATGTTACGCGATGGTTCTGCTATATTGTATGTCCCACATATATGAATTCAAACATTACAGTATACTGGCACAGTGGAATACCTGCACATATTGAAAACATTATAGTGAGAATTAGCATATTCTGTTGCTATCATTATTATGCATTCCTTTGAATTTGTTAAATTGGTATTTCTAATTTTGTTTTTAAAAATAACAACAGTCAGATTTCTAAACATGTACTGTCTGGAAATATTTTATTTTTTAATATAGGAAGTTGTTAACTTCACTGGTATTCTTTAAAAATTAACATCAGTAAATAGACCTATGTGTTTTATGTTGGGGAAGACACTGTGGAGAAGTTCTGAACATCAGAAAAGTTTTAGATATTTTGAACTAAAATATAAAGTTATACACTAATTTTTCATTCTTCTCCTTCACATCAGTGCTGTGCATTGTTTTTTAATGAATTGTATTTGTTTTGATGTGAAAAAGTGTAGTGTGAGATTCAATATTTGTCCAGTATAATGTAATGGCAATGTTTACTCATTCATATAAGAACAAGTAAATTTTGATGGACATGTCAGTCATGTCCTGTAAATAAAAAGTTAACCAATACATGTTGCTCACACGCATGAAGTTGTTATAGCTGCATTTTTATGAAAGTATAAAACAGGTTTGAGGAAATAATTAAAGTATGTAAAAATCACACTTCTATTTCTCATGAAACATGCATCTTAGAAGGGTTTAGGTTGATAAAAAAAATCTGCAGAGAAGTAGAATTATATGTTAACCATTACTTTCATGTATGTGCATAGACAAGCCTTAATTATTAATATATATTTTTTCCAATTGTCTTCATAATTTAGTATTTTATTTTTGTATGTGAAAATTGACTGAAATATATGTTCTCAAAGAAGCTGATTTTCTTCTTTTTGTTTGCTAAGTTTTTGTGGGGTGGGGGAGATTTTCTATTTTTAATACAAAAGGAAAATTTTTTAACTTCACTAAAAGAAATAATGGAATTTTGTTTCGAAAATATAGTGAATTGAAAAATATTTCTTAAGTAGTTTCTCAACAAATCCTATGTTGGATTATTTACCTAAAATTACTATATAGGTCGGTTTAAAAAATTTCCCTATAAGTATTTGTGCATTTGAAGCTCGCATAATATTTGAGTCTTATTCCCACCAATTATTTGTATGGATTATACAAAACATATCAACATGATGGTGACCTCTGGCATTAAAAGTTATTCCTTTAGGGTGGGGGGACATGTGATATTTGTGTAATCTTGTAAAAACTTAATTGTGGTTTTTCTTCAATTTCAATGGCTGTTCATGGTTTTGAACTGCATTTGTCCAGGAATCGGGCAGACTGGTTGTAAAGTGTAATGCATCAATATAACTATATAATAAAGACTTTTTGAAACTTGACAACACTATGTATGTGTATGTTGTTTTACCACTATCTGTCATTCTCCATGCTGTATAGTCAAATGTTACCACTGAAGGGAAACAGTTTGGCCTTACTCACTTTAGAGGTGCATTACATGTAAATTTTTTTAAGCTTTTAAAATTAAATTAACTACATAGGCCTGCAAATTTAAACTTCATAAAATTTTGGTTTTAATAATATATTTTTCATAATTCAGCCATGCAGATTTTGAAAATAATATTCATTTTTTTTGTCACTTAAGGATTTTTTACAAATCGGGAAGAAAAAAAAACTTAACCTCCTATTATAACCCCACTCTTTGAATTTATTGAGCATGTTATTTACAATATTTTCATAATTTGGGTCATTGTCTCCTATAAATTTGTGAATAACATCTTTTTCAACTTTCCTCATTGTCCTTTTAAAATGTTTCCTAATCTGAAGCCCAACAAAAATCCCTTCTAGTTTTGCTTCTGAAAGAGCTGGGAATTGCCCACATAGATACTTGAAACATTTGCCATTTCTGTATAAGGCCTTTACACGCTGCTTCATCAAGCCTAGTCTTATGTGAAGTAGAAGTAATAGGATTTTCTTTATGTCAACCAAACTTTTACATTTAGTGTTTTTCAATCCTGGTATCAGGCTGATTACATGGCTATTGCTTCTTTATCCAGTGCTGATTTCATGCTCTACTTTCCCATTCACACAAAAACGTGGAAACTTTGTATACACAGATTGTTGACCAAACAACATACAAAGGACTTTTAAGTTTCTACAAAGTAGCCAACCACGTTCTTTGTATTTGAACTTAAGAAGTTCAAGATTTTCATACGTTTCCTTCAAGTGAACCAAATTAGCAACAGGAACAGATGCATATATATTACCATTATGAAGGAGAACACCTTTTAGATTTCTTTTGGAGGAATCAATGAACAATCACCACTCACTTGGTTCATAGACTGCAGCTTCTAGCATTGGTATTAGTTCAGCAATATTATTGCAATAAACCAGTGAACCTTCTTGCAAAAAATTTAGTATAAACTCTCTCTCTCTCGTTTTCTGTACCAGTAAATTGATGTCCCTGGAGAGAGTAGGTTCTTAGCCTGAAGTCTGAACCCCAAAATCTTGGAAGAATCCTTTGGAAGGCCTAAATCTCTCACCAAGTCATTAAGTTCACCTTGTGTGAAAAGTTGTGGTTCACCAGACATTTCAGGATGAAAACAATCCTTATCATAATTTCTATTGACATAAGATTCAAAATCAGATGAAACTGTATCAAGAGTCTCCAATGGAGTAGGTACACGTACATCAGGTTTTATAGCAGATGGAAGGTTTATATAAAAAATGTCCTTTTATTTTGAGTGTTGTAGCCTACACTCGATAAAAGAAAAAATAGCAATCATCTCCATGGTTTCTAGGCTCACACCAGACCATTGGAATTCCATAAGGCAAAGTCTTTTTCTTACCTTTAGTCCATTGTCTCAACTCTTCGACACAAATGTTTTGGTCCCCAAAGTTTATTCCAAAATACACGTAATATGCTTTTTTGATTAATTCTGGAATATTTTGCCTTTGTTTCTTTACAATAAATTTACCACAAATGTAACAGCTTGGATCATTTATTCAACCTCATGTTGCCATAGCAACAAAAATAATAATGAAAAGAAAAAATAATGTCAAAATGCACACACAAACAAATACTATCCAGAAATTACATCTTATCCAGCCTGTTAACCATTTATATACTAGTGGTGTATTTGTCGTGGATTCCAGAACGATAGATAATACTCTCATGTTATTGATCTAGAGAAATTTATAGCCAGTGGTTGTCAAACGTTTTAAGCATAGCAAAATGTGACCGGATTTCAATGAAAATGAAAGTACTGTTACAACAGCGGAAGTCACGCGACGCTGGAGTTTCTAGAAGCATCATGATTTTTCCTGGCATCCTCTTTTTTTAGTATATAAGCCCGGCAAATAAAGCGGAGATATAATTGCAGATAGATAGATATAGAAACAGATAATAGAGTCAAGCGAGCGGTAGTGACGGTGATATAAAGTGTGTGTTTTGTTATTGAGATTGCAAATGTATTGACTGTGGAAATT